GGCCTACCAGTCTTTAGAATGTTCAGTACCAGTGCGAATACGTTTATGAAGACGTTTTAAAACCATTTTACATTTTTACTTCCTCGTATATACGAAGTATAGAGAAAGTCTTGTAATCGTGCAAAAAAAAAAAAATCGAGATTTTTACAAATCTCGACGTTTTAACGTTTTACACCTCACAGATACTGAAAAACATAATTTTGCAATCTTATCCGTATGTCTGTGTGTGTGTCTGTCTGTCTGTCTGTGTGTAAACACGATAACTTGAGTACCGTTACAGTTAGGTTGATGAAATTTCATATATAAGTATTTTAACCCTATAAGTTGAGTACTATTTCAGATACATAAATTAAATTTCACATGTAAGTAAAAGATCTAATTCTCTACCTTCTGTCAAATTTTGAGTAATTTCCGTTGACCGGAAGTACTAATTTACGCTATTTGCGATTTCTCAAAAAACGCATGTAAATTTATAAATACTAATAATATTGCGCACTATTATGAACATATATAATTATATACAGAGCCGGCGTTAGGGGGTGGCAAACGGGGCGGTCGCCCCAGGCCCCGCGCTTGAAGGGGCCCCGCGCTTCAGCAACGCCATTGTTGCCTGAATTAGTTTGTAAACTTAAATAATCTTTGCTGAATTAAATTTAAAAAAAAAAACCAACTAAATGGCAGAAATTGTTGGATGTTAAAACTGAGGCCACGGCTGATGTTAGTGAGTTATCCTCTACATGGACTGGGACAGACCGTTATTCTAAAGAAAGACATTAGTGTCACACATCGCTGGCACGGTCGACTCGCAATTGTCCTGAGGTGACTAGAGATGGCGGTCGCGAATTAGCCCCCGACCTGACATGGGAGGTAAAATCGGGAAAAACGTAAAAAGATACCCTATTGTTTGCGGACCGTTGAAGACGTTTTTTTTTAGTGAGCAGGCGGGGGTGCCTGTAGTAAACAGTCAGTGACCTGTGACCTGATGATGTCTTGCAGAGGAGTAGGGGGGGGGGGGCCGGATGGGGACATGCCCCGGAAATCCAGAGTATTTATCCCTAAAATCATAATTTATACACTGTATGGGCATCTTTTGTGTAATTATGCATATTCCCCACGATACGTTTGATAGGCATCCATACAGTAATTATGTTCATATTTATTTTATATATTGTCAGGTCATCTTTAAATACATTATACTTGTATTTATTTTTATATTTTTGAAGGGCATTTATACAGTAATTATGTCCATTTTCATTATGGTAAACTTTAACGGTATTCGTAAAGTGATTAAGCACATGTTTATTTTAATTAATTGTAGGGACAGTGGCGTAGCGAGGTCGGGTGTCACCCGGTGCGGCACTTAATGGTGTCACCCCCCCCCCCCCTTCCCGAGGCGTAGCGACCCTTCCCGGGAAAAAAATGTCAAATTTTCGATTCGCACCCCCCTCCTCAAACTTTTGATTTGCACCCCCCTCAAGTTTTCGATTTGCACCCCCCTCCCCCCACACCTCAAACTTTCGATTTGCACCCCCCTCAAGTTTTTCTCTATATATTTTGCTATTTTTTGCCTTGGTGTCACCCCTCTAAAAGGTGTCACCCGGTGCGATCCGCACCCCCCCCCCCCCCCGCTACGCCTCTGTGTAGGGATATTAAGTATAATAGTTAAGGCCATAGTGATTCTTATTTTAAAATAGTGTAGGCACACTAAACAAATTATAAAGTCTATACTGTTTGATACATCGGGCCGAGACTTTTATGGTAAAGTTCTCCTGATTTCTAAAACGTCTAAATTACCGGCAGTCCGAGCATGCCATCGCGAAACTCACAAATAACATGAAGCTGGCTGTTACATGGTTCACTTTCTAATTATAGACACGGACCTTCTCTTGTGAGAACGCGGTCTTAACCTGTAATGTAATACGTGGACGCTCTATAAACACGCACCTTCTCTTGAATGGCTGCGGTCAGAGATCCAGTAACGTAGTACTCGAACTGATTTTTTTAGGGTTTGGCATCCCATAGATTTAAGTGTACAGTTATCCTTCACGGGCTTCACCTCACCCCACCAACTGTCACCCCCCCCCCCAGTGTTCCACCTTACTGAGCGTCCGTGATTACATTTGAGAGTCATTCCTTTGGATATCTATAGCTGTAAACAGTGTTTTTCACGATTCGAGCTTATTCCGAAATCTATCAATGTTGTGCTATTTTCCCCGGCATCCACACACTTTGAATGCCCCTGTTAACACTCGATAAATTGAGAAAATATCGATACTATCACCTGCCACTGTGGACCGATTTAACGTTGCTTCAAAGTGCCCGAAGGTATTAAGTCAGCCAAACAGTGCCTTCAGTACATTTGGAGTATTCGGGATTCCTTTCCCAATACGGCGATCGCCTACAGAATCTTGCTAACAGTTCCAGTCACGAAAGGCAAGAAAAGTAGATCTTCGTTTGTGAACGTACTGGTAAGATTTTCATAAATAAACATTAATGTAAAAAAAATCAGGTTTGAAGCTGACGTTCGTCGTCTCTTTAATGCGTGTATCAAACTTATATCTGTTTTATTTTTTACTTTTCAAACAAAAAGCCTTAACAGAAACAAGCAACGTTTCAAAAGCACTTCTAAGTAAACAAATTATTTGTTAATCAGTGTCTTAATGTTAATACGACATTGATAAACAGCTTAAAAATACCATATATATCGTTATAAATATTAATTCGCGTTGAGGAGAAAAAAAAAAACGCCTCACTGTATATGTTTTATTTAATTATACACCAATGAAAAAAATATAAGGCCCCGCGCGGATGGTTGGCCATAGGCCCCGCGTACCCCTAACGCCGGCTCTGATTATATATATATATATATATATATATATATATATATATATATATATATATATATATATATATATATATATATATATATATATATATATATAGAGAGAGAGAGAGAGAGAGAGAGAGATACGTGTGTGTATGTGTGAGGGAGAGTGCGAGTGTATCAACCATTTAGCCTTATTGAGGTTATTGGGGTACCACAGTACAATTTCTAATTATTTTCTGCCACCTGCCTCGGTCCTCTGCTGCTCAGCGTAGGTCTTCAACGTGCATCTCAGTCCAGTGGCGTAGCGAGGTCGGGTGTCACCCGGTGCGGCACTTAATGGTGTCACCCCCCCCCCCCCCCCAGAGGCATAGAGACCCTTCCCAGGGACAAACTTTCAAATTTTCGATTTGCCCCCCCCCCCCTCAAACTTTCGATTTGCACCCCCCATTTACCATTGAGCCTTATTGAGGTTATTGGGGTACCACAGTACAATTTCTAATTATTTTCTGCCACCTGCCTCGGTCCTCTGCTGCTCAGCGTAGGTCTTCAACGTGCATCTCAGTCCAGTGGCGTAGCGAGGTCGGGTGTCACCCGGTGCGGCACTTAATGGTGTCACCCCCCCCCCCCCCCCAGAGGCATAGAGACCCTTCCCAGGGACAAACTTTCAAATTTTCGATTTGCCCCCCCCCCCTCAAACTTTCGATTTGCACCCCCCCCCCCCTCGAGTTTTTCTCTATATATTTTGCTTTTTTTTGCCTTGGTGTCACCCCCCTAAATGGTGTCACCCGGTGCGGTCCGCACCCCCCGCCCCCCCCCTCGCTACGCCCCTGTCTCAGTCCAATATTTCATCTCTTCCTTGCATTGATGTCTATGCCCTCACATTCTTCCCCCTCCTGTCAATGTGCATTACCTTGTATCCTTGTTTAACTATGCTTATGTATAGTAATCTCAGAGGCGTAGCACGCGGGGGGGGGGGGGGGTACATATGTTCGCGGGCGTCGACCCTAGGGCGCCAAAATGGGTGTTGGAAAAAAATTAAAAGCTGCAGTTTTGCATTATAAATTTAAAAAATATATTGGGGGGGGGGGGGGGAAGGGCGCCAAGTTGAAAGTTTGTCCCTGGGCGCCGGGAAGGGTCGCTACGCCTCTGAGTACTCGCTCAAAGGTACCACTGGCATAAGTGATACTTTCACAGACTCCTTCATTTTTATGTGGTTTCTGTATGAGATCCCTATTATAGGATTCTCTCTCTCTCTCTCTCCATATATATATATATATATATATATATATATATATATATATATATATATATATATATATATATATATATATATATAGTGTATTCTACGTTGTAAACTTCTTGCTTTTAGAATATACAATGTATGACAGTTAATACAGATAGCTGACAAATACAATGTGTAAAAGGAGTAGGTTAACATATTTTATGTAAACATTTTATTTGGTCAGGATTAAATTAAATTTTTCCACATGAAAGCTACTCTTGGTGTTGAATGTTTTGTTGCTGTAATCAGATACAATGTAGTCCATTGAGAAAGCTGCTGGGGTGGGGGGGGGGGCAGAGGGTTTCATTGCAAGATACTATTTATTAAATCAACATCAGAAAAATTAATTATATCGTATCGGCCTTGAAATATTTTAGTTATAGTTTTAACTGTTTTGTTCATGTAGGTCTTATAACCATTGCCGGCGCCAGGTTATTTAGCGCCCTAGGCAAAATTTATTAAAACGCCCCCCCCCTCCCGCAATTATCTTTTGGTGGTTTTTTTTTCCCATTTATTCTATTAATTTGGAATTAATTCCATTTTTATAGCTTAGTCATTCGTCAGGATGCTTAATTTTAATTATTCTTAAGAAAATATATTTAGTTTTTATTCACTTAGTTAAAAACCTATTTAATTGTTTTTTTCGGCACCCCGATTCGGCTATGCAAAGGAGAATAATCCATGGAAGTGATTTTTAAAGATTTGCCTATTATTTCATACTACAACTTATGTAGTTTTTTTTTTCTCAAGGCAACAGTGTGTTTTAGCTACACTATAAAAATCACTGCTGCAATCGATTAGTTGTTTGTTTTTACATAACCACTATTATAGTATATCAAGGTGCAAAAAATAATTTTTATCGAATTTTGTCCCCCCCCCCCCCCCCCCCAC